AGCCAAGCCAAACCCACGCAGAAGCTGCACGGGCTCGGCTCGGACCCACGGGCCGGAGCCGAACCTACGGGTAGTGGGCCAACCCCCCCCCCCCCTTCTCGGCAACGTTCGGTTGTCGGGCCTACCAAGCGGCTGGCCCCCGGCGGAGCGCCGCGCCGCCCGTCCATTGTCGTTCTCTCTCGCACACCTTTAGGCAGCGGGCGGAACTACCCTCCCGATGTGCATCTCTGCCGGCGCGTCGCAGGCCAACAATGGCCAGGCGTGGGGCCGCGGCGGCAACAGAGGAGGAAGGAGAGGTAGCGGTGGTAGCAGGATGCTACACTTGTGGCGAAAAAGGCCACTTTGCCGCTAACTGCCCGCGTGGCGCTCCGCGCCCTCACCCCTATGCACAACCCGCGTCACAGCCCATGGCGCAGCCACCATGCTCTGGCCTTGTCCTTGCAGGGCTCTCATGGGCCAAGTGAGAGACGCATGGTAGTGCTGCGGCATAGGGGGCATGGGCAGCAGCACGGAGCCGGAACACGGAGCGGGCTGGACAGCATGCGGCACCATGGGCTGCGCAGAGGGCTGTGGCGCGGGTTGTGCATAGGGGTGGGGGCGCGGTGCGCCTCGCGGGCAGTTAGCGGCAAAGTGGCCTTTTTCGCCACAGGTGTAGCATCCTGCTAATTAATGCTGTAAAGATGGTTCGGTCTGTGCTGAGCATGATCACACAGACACGTAGGAAGATCACCTTGGAACACACCATAGAAATCCTCAAGGGGAAGCAAACAGAAATATCTCTTAGACCGACGTAAGCTAAAAACGGTGTTTTAGCAGATGATGCATTTGTAACTGAAACTTGGAACACTTTTCACAACTGAAATTAGTAATAGGAATGATAAGTCAAATGTGCCATTGCTTGTACAGTAGCTTCGTGCAGAGGGGCACAAAGCGTGACGTCACCAGTAGTAGATAGACGAGGGGAGGCTGAGTGTTTGTGGCCCGTCCGCCTGCCGTGCCACAGCCAGACGCCCCTCCCCCTCCCTTCTACCTCCCTCCCGCCCGGCTCGGCTCGGCCGGTGCTCGGCTGGAGGCGCAGCTCGGAACCCGGCCCGGGCACTATCATATCATGCTATTCCAGACACTGAAGGAGAATAAAAAGCCGATGGAAAACTTGTATGATATAAATAGCCGAGGGGTCTGCAACTCGCCTCAGCCATGTACTTTTGAGTATAGATTATAAGGATTATAGCGTGATTAT